AAATTAAACATTTGGAATCAGATTTAATAATGCGAATTTATTATATGAATTTTGTGATATGTTAGATTTATCAATAAAATATCAATTGATAGTTGGATTTATTGTCAATAACAAGATTAATATATAATACTATATTGTCAATCTACAATATTATTTTTTTTTTTTACCAAAAAGCATTCTGCCACTAATGCTAATTTTGTTAGTTAATTAATCATTTAACAAATGAATTAGATTATTATAATTAATGTTTATGAGTAATGATGTAATATACAGAGTATAACTTAAATAAATGAAATATATTTACTATTTTTATATTTATATAATTCGATTTTCATTCCATTGACCATTCTATTAATAGCTTACCAATTTTAAAGCATCTTATATTCATTAATTTTCTTTTATTATATAACACAATTCGCTTCTTTTTAATTAATTATTCTGCTATATCTTATTTTTATATCCTATCCATTATATTTTTATTCTTATATTCTATTCGTTATATTTTTATTCTTATATTTTTTATTTATTTTAATATTAAAAGAATGAAGGTGCTAAAAAAAAATGAAGTTTGTAAAACAATTCTATCACAAAAAGGGAATAATAGCATTAAAGTCAGCAGGTTTATTCTGGTAAAAGAACAGAATCAAGAAGACAAATTTTATTGGTATTGTGCGAAGCGTAAATCAAAAAAATGTAAAGGTCATGCAACAACAATTCTAAAAAATAACTTGCACTATTTACAAACACATGAAGTAGGCAAACATAATTATGCTCCCTAAGCAAGTAGCTCTGAAGTTGCTACAGCCATTACCAGCATCAAAAAATATGCTTCAGAAAGTCAGAAAAAGCCCGCACAATTAATTCAAGACAATATAACAAAGTTTCCTGAAGTGCAACCATACATGTCATCCCTTAATTCTCTTCATAAAATAATTTACCATTCAAGAAAAAATAAAAATTTAGCACAATTGCAATCAGCAAATGCATTAGATATTATCATAACATCTATACTATATAATATCTTGGCCAGGGATCTTTTTTAATTAAAGATTCTATACTTGGCCAACACCAAATCCTTATCTTTTCTACTAAGAAAAATATCGAATGTCTATCAAAAGCCTTATTCTAGTTAATGGATGGGACTTTTAAAACAGTCTCATCTATTTTTTCTTAATTATATACGATTCATGCATCAGTTGGTCCAGAAGAAAATTCTCGAATCTTATCATTGGTGTATGTAATGATAACAGGAAAATCTGAAGAATTGTATAGATTAGTAATGATTTAAATTATTTTAATCCGGATTAAAATCATGTGATTATACTTTACCATTTTTGATGCTTCTGCACCTACTTTTTTGATACATCTAAACATATTCTAAAATTTCTGTACTTTTTACTAACTTTTATATAATAACATGCAATCTTATTGGTTAGTTTTAGTGTAAGTTTAGATGTATTGAAAAAGTAGATGAAGGAGTATCAAAAATGTATGTTTGCATCAAAGTTAGACAAATTTTGGAGTATCAAATCATGTAATACATATAATTCTATAGTAAACCTTGGCTTTATTCTATTTTAATCAGGTGAAAATAGAATTTTTATCGTTATAATTAAAGTTCATAATCATTAAAAATTCCCAAATATAGATTGTTCTTCAGAAGTTTGTCTGAATTTGCTGATGAAATAAATATTCAATTAAATCCAATGTGGATAATTACAGACTTTGAAAAAGCTATAATTAATGCATCACATTGTAAGCTACCTAATGCAATAAATAAATTATTACTTTCATCTATGCCAAATTGGATGGCGTAAAATTCAGGAGTATGGCTTGGTTACTACATATGGCAATAATATTTATTTTAGCCTTATGATCCAGCATTTATTTGCCTTGCCATTCTTATCTCCAAATAAGATTCCTGCTGGTTTTGAAATTTTAAAGGCTAATATGCTTTCTGAGACAAGTGATATGATCCAATAGTTTGAAAATAACTATATTGGAAGGGTAATTGGACAAGATGAAGATATAGTAGTTCGTAACTTGTCTTTTTTTATTCACGACTTTGGTCTGTATATGAGTCAGTAGACTTAGGTATTCCATAAACACAAAACTCCGTGGAGGCTTGGCATAGTCGTTGGAATGCTTTAGTTGAAGGAAAACATATAAGTATTTATACATTAATAAATGAGTTGCAAAAAGAGCAGCAGTATGTTGATGTTCAGGTTAAACGTATTCTTCATGAAGAACCAAAACTCAAGCTAAGCAAATATTATATTGAAAAAGAAAGAAGTTTTTAATGATCGAGAAAATTGGCCAGTAATAGAATATTTATATGCAATGGCACATAATCTTTCATCATATCTTTCTTTGTAATGTTTTTGTTTATATTATTTTACTTTGTATTTTTTTTTTTTTGTAAGTAATTTAGATTTTTTTTATTTTTTAAGAAATTGATTTATTTATAATATTAAATCTATACAATTACGAGAAAAAACTAATACTTATATTGCAAGTATTGTCTTTTGTTTATTTGAATTTTTTAATAGCATTAATCTTTATTAAATAAACTAAGTAAAAATGTATATAAATTACTTAGCTACATAATGGTAAAAAATATTTAATGAAACTGGTATAATCATTATAAAAGATTGGTAAGATTATATCATGCAAATAATAATGATTATCTGGCATCTTACTATGATCATACCAACAGAATAACTATATATTATTTCATTATTACATACTAATCTATAGAGAAAACCTAAAGACATTATTATAGTGAAGTGAACTTCATAAAAATAAAAGCACCCATGATGTAAGTTGCATGTTTATTTATTTGCTAACTATTTATTTATTGTTTTTTATAGTATGCTAACACTATTGATGCAAATGGAAAATAATTACAGATAAAAAAAAAAATTTCAGGGTTCGTCATCATCACTGCCACCTAACACTGTGGTATTATTAGAATTAAAGTATATAGTTGTAATTAAGTATCAGAATGTGAAACTATTCTTACTTCAACAACAAAAAACCAAAAAGATTCAGGTTTGTCGCTGTTGCCATTGCTGCCTAATATGATGAAAAATATAGTAAGTATTGAATATGAAATAATATCCTTAATTGAAAATAAAATGTTCATACTTATCTAAAAATTATAGATTTGCTGCAGTTGCCACCCAATGTAATGAAGTATATAGTAAGTATTTAATAAAGAATGATAAATAGAATTAAGCATTAAATGTGAAATTATTATACTTTCAAAATTTTTAGAATTCGCCGTCTAATGTGGAAAAAAATATGGTAGATATTGAATTACCTACAAATGAAAAGTGATAATTATACCTTTTCAAATCTTAGGTCTTACCATTGCTGTCGCTATATAATATTGTGAAAAATATAGTAGATATTGAATAAGAACTAGCATTTGGTTAAAATGACAGCTTAAATCTCTTTAAAATTTTAGGTTTCACTGTTGCCATCATCTAACGAGAATGTGGTAAATACTGAATAAGGGTGTTAAACTTACCTGACAATGTACTTTACATAGTAAGTTACTGTAACTTATATGTAAATTACTTTAACTTATATAAGGTTACAGTAAGTTACAGTAAGTTATAATAAGTTACAGTAACTTACATGTAAGTTAACAACCCTAATACCTAAATACTGAACTATAAATGTTTATCATTATTTCAATTTTAAAATAATTTACCATACTCTTCTTCATACTTTAGGTTTCATCACTGTTGTTGTATAATAAAAATATGATAAATATTAATACGCAATAATATTTCATATGAGAAATAATCATTCATACTTACCATTTATACTTTTTATTTTTTGAAATTTAGGTTTTACCGCTGCTATCGCCTAATGAGTGTGTGGTAAATATTAATTAAATTATTAATACTTAACTTTGATATGTTAATTATACTTATCTTTAAAATTCTAGGTTCTATCATTGGTTTCATCTAATGAGAATGTGGTAATGGATAAATAAAAAGTACAAATTTGATTAGAAAAATTAACTGAACACAATTTGGAACTTTAGATCTCACTATATCTGCTATTACCTAATGTGATATTGAATATAGTAAGTATTTAATATGAATAATATTAATATTGTAATAATAAAAGCTTACACATATCTTTGAATTTTAGGTTTTTTCTCTGCTGACACCACCACCTAATGCAGTAGTAAATGTGGTAAGTAATAAATTAGAAACATACTTTAACTGAAAAATGATAACTTATCTTTGAAATTTTAGGTTTTTTCACTTTCAGCTAGTGTTGTAAAAAATATGGTAAGTATAATTTAAACATTTTAAATAAGAATGTTATTTTTTTTGTAATTTTTATGTTTTTATTTTTTTATTAATCTTTATTTTATTTTTTTATTAATTTTTATTTTATTTTTTTTACATTGTTTTTTATTTTTTTATTTCATATTTTATTTATAATATATTTTTTTATTTTTTTATAATTATTTTTTTCATTATTATTTTTATTTTATAGTTTTATTTTTTATCTTAAATTTGAATATTTATTCTAGAGGTTGCTGTTAAGTAATGTGACTATGAGAATAGTAAAATTAAAGGCAAATATATAATAACTCCAAACATAATCTATATTTATTCTAATGGTTGCAGTTAAGTAATATAGTCACGAGAATAGTTAGTGAAAATTAAAGGCAAATATATAATAATCCCAAAAATAATCTAAGATTGGGTCAGATAATAGTTTTTACTTTATAACTAAATTACTTCTTTGACTGTTCATCAAATCTTAAATATGAAATTCTGCAACACTTGAACTTTTAGTTCTAATTCTATACAGATTGTACACAACAAATATTTTAACATTTGGATGTAATATTTGATTGCCTTTATATACTTTATAAGTTATTATCAGATCTACTAAGAGACCTATATAATTGTATGTATTGATTTTATCAAAAAATAACCAGAATTTATAATATTAACATTTATTTGAGTCTTTTATAAATTGATTAATCATTGATAATTTTCTTTGTTGTTTGTTATGTTAGCATAAAGATTTAAAGTGTAAAATTTCATTTCATCCACTATAGCAAAAAAACTAATCAAATTTGTCTGTTAATAATTGTCATCAAATAAAACTATTAGATTCTTACATTGCATCTTGACTGTTTTTACTATAAAAAACTCATAATATTTATACTTTTCTACAATCAGCTTCATCACAAATTACTACAAATACATTCTCAAAACAAAATCAAAGCCATCTTCAAAGATTATCAGCTGATAAAACATAATGGGTTCAGCATAACATGAATAGTTAATTTTATAATGAGTTTTACATAATATACTTTTCAATCTCTATAAAAATAAGCCCATTGGATTCCATTTTCCTAGTAGAGACCAGAGACATTGGCAAAATTTTACAAAGGATAAACACCTTTTCATATCAGGAAATCAAAGTTGTTTAAAATATTTCTATAACAATAAACACTTTTAATTATATAACAGAATAGAATATTTTAATTTTGAATTTCACTTTATTTTTTTGTTTGATAAAATTTAGAATTTATTAATACATATTAAAATCAGTAATCAAAATTTTGGCATTGTCAGAATTTAACATTGTCAAGATCTTGGTAATGTTAGGATTTTGACCCATCAGGATCCTGGTAATATCAAGATTTTGGCATTGTCAGAAGTTCAATATTGTCAAGATCTTGGTAATGTCAGAATTTTGGCATTGTCAGAATTTTAGGTGTCAGGATTAATATAAATGGTGTCAGGATTTTGATACTATCAGGATTTGATGCTGTTGGGATTTTGGAAATGATAGGATTTTGGGATCAGAATTTTTGGTGTTGGGATTTTAGTACTGTCAGGATTCTGGGGTCAGGATTTTGGATATCAGGATTTTGGTTGTCAGGATTCTGAGGTAAGACCTTCAGGAAGTTGGGCTATAAATTTTGAAATACAATATAGGATCCAGATTTTGTGATAAATTTGTTAATTAAGATAAAGTAAGAATTTAATTATAAGTATTATAGTTGTTTTTTTGGATAACAAAATTGCAATAATGTCAATAAGTTCATTTGGTATTAGATCTGTTAGAGTTGAAAAAATTAAAGTTAAGTCAAATATACTATAAATTGTTATACTATTCAACACTTTTTTTTTTTTTTTGCTTATACTAAGGCTATAGTTATTAGTAGCTATTGTCTTTATTATATTTAATTATAATTACATAACTTGTATAAGATGAGTATATAACTAGCTATATGTATAATTTTTGGTTGTCTATTTTAAATAGTCCATCTATACAGCAGGTTTTATACTAGTTGTTATACTTGCAATCTACTAGAAGATTACCTATTTGAACACTCTAATTCTTATACTTATACTAACAAATAGCATACAAGTTCCTATACATCTAAGTGCTGTCTAACCTAACTGTGACCTTTCTGTTTGATATCCATCAAGTTGTTATATATTTCAGAGTATATCATCTGACTGTAAGGCTTCAGAGGGCCTTTTTGCTAACTAACTACTCATATTTAGTATCTTGTTAACAGGGCTCACCCTTGCAGAGTTTACCCAGACCTTAGCATCAACTTCATAGCATATCCCTAGTACTTATAGTATACCACTGTTTCTAACCTCAGACTCCCAATCCAGATAGCCCAATAGGACTATGACCTGTTTCTGATATCTCAGGGTCTGCACCTCAAGGTTCTTTTTCTTCAGTTCAAAACTTCCAGTAGCCTGGTTGGTAGTACTCTTTATACAAGATTCTTGCCTACCTGATTTCTTTTATATTGGTATCTATTTTCTAGGTCTAGCCTTTACAGTAGTATTGTCAAAGATCTGTGCTATCTCTTTACTCAGATCTTCCCAAGTGGGCTTCAGTTTCCTAGTTTACAGATTTACATAACCATGAGAACTTATCTTGGATTTGTACTGCCTGATGCCGGTTTGCATTTT